TTATTATATTATACTTCTTTTACAGCTGAATCCTCAATGTCATGACATTTCAATTTTTCATTCCGGAGTTGGCACTATCATAAAGTTAATTTTATCTGTGCCCCACAATAGTCATTATCGTTTTGAAAATAATAGGTAGTAAAATTAGGATCACGCGGCGTTTTAGATAGTCAATTTTGCTACATCACTGTCGTGGATACATTTTTTGAATTTTTCCGATGTCTCAAAATAATATTTTAATATTTAAAGAAAATAATAAATATATTTCAATAGTTTAATGATTAAAATCACATCACATTGGCAATTACTTAACCAAATGTCGAGGTTATTGATAACTTATAGACCCAAAATTTGAATTTTTCATACTGTACTTTATTTTATTCACAGAAAAACATCACATGGCTGCAATGCGTTGAAGTGCATATCGAATTAAAAGTTTTTCAGATTTATCCCTCCCTGTCCAAGTTCGTAGGTATATTTATAGGGTGTATAGATATCCACTTCGTGTGTATAGCGTGAATATATAGTAAGCAAGGCGGATGTTGTAAAAATAAACTAATTATTTATATTTTGAAAATTTTAGTATAACAAATGAAGTATTGAAAAATGTTTGTAAATAAAAATAATGTACGAATGTGTTGGAAGCAACATAATGTATTGCGCACGAGTACATAACGCATGCGCAATTATATTATGTTTTAGAATCCTGGGTGGTAGTCTGTATTTAATTAAAATATTAATAATTAGTTTTAAATACCAACATAATGTCATAATGTATATTATATTATATAGGTGCAACATAATTAGACACTTTGAGTAAATCACATAATTATAGAAGTCAGTTTTAAAAACAATTATTTCGCTAAAGTATTTCAAAATACATCTTTATTTATGTTAAAACAATGAACAATAATAACTAACTTAAATAAAAAATGTTTAATATGTTTTTATATTTATTTTTACTCTTGAGAAATTATTAGAAGGAAAAATGTTATAGAGAAAAAACATACTCATTTGGCCTATATTTTACCATTAAAATGTTTAATATTTGTTATAGGCACTAAAATCTAAAATACTTATTACGGACATAAGTAATCGTTATTTGGACAAGAATACAAAGGAAGAGGTATGCAATTAATGTGTTTCTATTCAAGATAAGACTTTAAAAATCGAATAACTATACTTTTACTTTCAGATACAATTGTTTCTTAATCAAATGTGCAGTAGTGCGATTGAATTTACTGCTTGCGATTTCTTCACTTTAAATAATCATCTCATCACATCTGTATGTTAAGTATAATATTATATCGTGATTCAAAATTAATAATACTCCAGAAAAAAATACAGGATACTATTTTAACCAGTGATTAGAGAGACGTAGAGGAAAGGAAGATAACGTTTCATTAAAAAAGTATTTCAGTGAGGCCATTAAATTATTAATTTATTTCACTACACAGCCACACTGGTTGTTCAAATTTTACATAACCAAAATAGTGGAGTTCTTATATAAGTTAAACATTTTTTTTTTAGCCTCGGCAATAAGGGACATTGAGTTTATGTGGGGGGTAACGGTTATTATGGTTGGATCTTGGAATCTCGTGTTTTTTTGTGGGGCAAGGATTCGTGACAAAGAACACAGATATGGTTACCTATCCGGTAGCCTGCGACTCTGGACGATGATTGACCGCATTAATGAGTGCGGCCAACCACCGCGCCACACCAGGCTCCAAGTTATAAATCATAATTTTTACTATTCCTACAACTCTATCACTAGGTATTAGGTATGATTTTTATATTATGTTTGTTGTTTTAATTTAATTGTAAACGATTTATTATTAATGGTATTTATTTTATTTGTATTGTTCATAGGCCATTGCTGCTGCCACGACATATCTCGTAATATTATTACAATTCAACTAGGCGAACTATTTTTTAATTTAATTTAAATTTGTCAAACATTACAATAATACTTAACGTAATCATTCCAAAAAATTCAACCTATGAATGTTTATATTTTTTTAATATCTTTGATTTTAATAAACTAATACATTTCATTGATATATATATTGTACATTGTTAAACATTAGTAGAAATATTATACCATTCATTTTACATAATCATTATATTTTATTTTAATATACCTCGATGGTTGGAAGGCCAATCAATGGAGAGAACACGTATTTTAATAAATGATTATACAATTACAAGTGGGAAATTATTTTTTAAATTAGTCTTTATTCTTCAAAGTGAATGAAGTTGAGGATTAAAATATTTTACCTGGATTGGTATTTTAAATGGTGGGTTAAGTTATGAACTTGTACATTGTTTGTACTTTACAAAACAATAGTGGGTTCCAGACTACAGCGAGAGTAACATGAATAGACTGGGACCGTTTGGCGTTTACAATAATTATGGGATACTTCGTAGTTTGTGACTTATACATCACTTGACCATATAATGTTGTTATTGTGAGTTACGATGTTATATTATTCTTAAATAAGAAAAAATTTAATTTTGAGTTGAAAAAATTATTTGATGGTTACATTAATTGAAAAAACGCGTATTTATACATGTGTTTTATCATTATTAGGTAAAACCTTGATTTCGATAAAGTTGAGGGTTACATCACTTGGCCTTTCCACCATCGATCTTATTTTATGTCATATTAAATACAACAGCAATACTTACAAAGAAGTAAAATGTAAGTCTTAAATTATTTTAAACGTGTAAGTACTCTTTTGGTCGGTAAACAATAACTAATACAAGTACCTAGCAAACATAATAATATAATGAAAACGAACACATGACGATACCCAACAAAAGTTAGTAATTAAAAACAGACAGCTGTCCATTCATTTATTCACAGTCCATTGCTACGGTAATAACCGAATCACTTACAAAAAAGGCTTATGCGTACCTGTAAAAAGTAAAAACATTTGTTTTTTTTGCTTTTCTTGACGGATAATGTTCAATTTTTTTCACAATAAATTGTACCGTAACATCGGATTACTGATTTCTATGTTCGTGTTATTGTCGTGTTTTTATACTTACATAGAAGCTCCAAATGTGATGTGTTTACTTAATGTTTGTAAAAATTATAAAACTACAACTATGGTGTCCATGTTTCCACGAGCTGTAGCCATCGCATGTACTATATCTAGAATCACGGTTATGTACAAGAACGTTAGTGTGATGGCTAAGTACAAGAAGAAAATCAAGGAATACGAAGTCTACTATCCGATAACCGTTGACAAAGAAAATTCCCGACGTTTTTTGATTATCGCCATTGTGTTTCTGTATTCTATATTGATACTACCGTTTAACGTATTCAGACTGTTCTTGATTTATTATTATTATAAAAACATAAAAATACTAGTATTCATTTTACTAATGTACATACAAAATGTGAGCATGTCTATGACGGAAATACAGTTTATGGTGTATTGTTTCGGACTGTATGCGAAATTTCAATCGATCAACGAAGACATGTCCACGATAAAGTCAAAAACTATTTCGATAAATAGATACCCGTTTGTACTAAAATCCGAAAAACGCAAAAGAGTCGAAGTGTATCCATCAGTCCGCAGTATTGAACTACTTAAGATGAGACATCAATTTGTCTGCGAGTCAGTTAGTGATCTGAACGAAATATATAGCATTCAATTGGGAATGTCTATATCTGTTTTGTTTATAATGTTATTGTTCGATATCTACGAAGTCGTGACCAGCGAATTGGTCAAAACTAAATCGCTTTTTCTACTGTATGGATGGCTGACACAGTATATATTCAGATTTATTGTAGTTATACTGATGTCACATATAACGACGAAACAGGTAAATTGTTGAATTAACGAAATACAATAAATTAAAACATTTAACAATAATATTATAAAAAATAACTTTCAAATAGTTAGGGAACGATAGAATAAGTAATAAGTAAAATTAAAAGTTTCTTTAAACGTTTAAAATATGCCAAACATATTCTTATATAATATAGGTAACATAATATAAATAATAGGTAACTATAATAAAAGTATCAAGTACGTTTTTTTATCGTTTTGCCAATATGTACCTGTATGAAATTAAACTAAATTATTAGGCATAAAGCATACATTTTTTTCTGGTATAATTAGCAGGATACTACTTGTAGGTAGTGTGGTACTCAGGGGCGTCATTTCAACTTATTGAAAAACTAGGAAGGCCAACAAAATGTTCAGTGGGTTAATATAATATATTGTACTATAGAGCTATTACAAAAAAAATGTTTTTCTCGCTACGCTTCATAATTTAAATGATTTTATTTTCCATGTAATAATTAAATATATTATGAATATTATACTAAGTTACTACTAAATAATTTAAACTTAAAGGACTCGTGTGGAAGATCAGAAATTCTAAATTACATTATAAGTACATAAATAGTATATATAAAATAAGTCCTGAAATCCTCAATCACGAATAAAATATTTAATATAAACCAAACATTGTTATATTTAATTTAAATAATTTAATAATATAACAAACCCGTATTTGCTGATACTTGAGACCAACTAAAAAAAGAAGATTATATTTTTGCCTGGTGCAGAAAAATAGTCAGGTCAAAGTACAATGTTCATAAACTTTAGGTACCTATGTATATAACGGGATTGGTAAATTGAGTCCCAAATGACCCTAACTCGGTAAATTGAGTCCCGGGGAAAAACAGGTAGTAGGTAAGTTGAGTCCCGGAAAAAATAAGGTAGTAGGTAAGTTGAGTCCCGGGGAAAAACGATTTTTAAATAATAATTATTAATTATATAATTATATTTTTCCCCAACGATACACTCTTAACAACACCAAAGCATTCACATTCAATAAAAGTCCATAACTTTGTAACATCGTACCTTTGGTTAAACACAATTAAGATAGGTGCCGATAAGTAAGGACTTGTTCGTACGTATATACTATATAATATATAGTGAGATAGTAAGATACCGTCATCTTACTATCTCACCGATTTCCCCCGAATATTTGGTCCGCATTTGCTGCTACAACCGTGCGTACAACCAATAGTTGTGAACCGTATCATTCGAGATTAAACCGACGCGTTTACAGTCCACATCCGAATATTTTTAACTTTATTGATGAATTACTTGAAGATCAGTCAGAGACACAAATAAAATTAAGAAGTAAAAATTAAAAAAAGAAAAGCACGCTCGATAACGAACAAAACCTAAGGGAGCAAATGACCAAATACACCGGTAATGTTATAACCCGATTTGAGTTTATTAAATCAATATCAATGAAGTTTTTACCAAGTACATAATATATATATATAATAATAATGATAATTTTTAACGACAATAATTTTTTTAAATTAATTTATATAAATCTAAATATTATATATCTTTATATAAATAATATTTACTTACTATCTTTTTTTTTCCCGGGACTTAATTTACCGCTTTCAAAATGTACCAAACTTATCTCGGACTCAATTTACCTAGCCCCGTATATAAGCATACCCTGCAACGCCTTATGAAGCCCTTGAACTTATTGTACTCTTATAGAATGTTTTATTTAATACGTCTTATATATTTGAATACCTAATTTTACCGAATTCTAGGGGCACAGAACAAAATTGCTTATTACTGATATACATAATCGTAATTTAGATAGCAGAACAAAAGAAGAGGTAACATTGCTTTGTAATAATAATAGACTTTTTTATTTGTAAAGTTTTTATTTTATTTTTTTAGTTACGACTGTTTTTGAATCAAGTATGTAATCATTCAATGGAATTCACAACCTTTGACTTTTTGACCCTAAATACACATCTCATCACTTCTGTAAGTTTACTAATGTTAAATTATTTTATTTTAAGTGTTATTTCAATACATTTTTAATGTAATATAACGACTAAATCATTATTTTGTTTCATAAACTAAAAAATAGTCCATTATTTTAGTTTGATGTGGTTGTAAGTATCTCAACTTCAGTAAATTTGTGTATTTTATTTGTAGTAGGTACCTAACGTCATATAAACTATAAATTATATCCATGTTTAAGCTTAATTATGATTAATGGCAGTATAAAAATGTCATGTAATGTAATGTTACTTAAGTCCTAACGAATATAATATATGTATAGATATACCCTACCTATAGCCTATATGTAACATTGAAACATAGAATAATTTAAAGCGTCTAACTTAATTTAAGTTTCTAATAAATGCATAATTTTCTTTTTCAGGCTATAGTCGCGGGTACGACTTATATCGTTATATTACTACAGTTCCGTTAAATAAAGAAATATGAACATAATACAAACTCTTAACATAATATTTAAGGTTATTTAAAAATAAGTAGCTTATCGTATTTTTATAATATTCTTTAACAGTACGAACACATTTTGAAAAAACTTTACAAAATAAATGCTATAATAATAACATGCTATTAAATATTGAGAACTAATAAGAAAATATTGTTAACCTTTTAGGGTAGTAAATATTTATAATGTGTACGTATAAATGATGACACGCCACTTTTCAAAATAATTATAAGTAAACAAAATGTCCATCACATATTTCTGTGTGATCCGTTCAGAAATTATATTTTATAAAACACGCAATTTGTTTTTCACGCTATTGTTTTTTATAATTCAGGGTTATGTTGCGATATTTTCTCTAGTATAATGTTTAAGTTCTATTTCAATAAATTGTTATCCAGTCTAAAACTAGTATACTTTTTGGCTTTAGCAATGACATGTGTAATGAATTTAAAAAATGCATCTGCCACTGTTTGTTCGTTATCGGAATGTAAAAATCCAGTAAAAACAGAGGTATTAGCTATGTTCTCCCGATCTATTGCCATCGCATGCCTCTTATGCAGAATCACGATTATGTACAAAAGTAAGAGCGATTTTCCAAACTACGTGAAAAAAGTCGAAGACTATGAATTATACTTTCCGGTAAATATCTCCCAAAAAAGACATATTCGATTCATTGCTATAGCTATAATATCTTCGTACATCGTCATCATATTGCCTATAAACGTATTGAGAATTTACTTAATTTACACTAACTTTGGTAAGATAAACACGATGTTTTTTTATACAATGATGTACGTACACAATTGGAGCATTTGCTCCACAGAAATACATTTTGTCGTACGTTGTGTCGGTCTGTACCAAAAATTCCAATCGATCAACGAAGAAATGGCTACGTTGAGGTTAAAAACCATAGCCGGAAACAAATTCCCGGTCGTGTTACGAAAAAGCAAAAGACATGGTCACGATAACACATTATTTATCGGTTTGGAAACCCTCGGCGGCGGTTCTCCACTTTCGATGTCCTCCAATGGACATCAACCAGCCGATCACATTGAACTACTGAGGATGAAGCATCAGTTTGTCCGAGGCACCGTCGTAGAACTCAACGACTTGTACGGTATACAGTTAGGTCTGTCGATAGGTCTGTTGTTTATAATGACATTATTCGACATTTACGGCGAAGTGTCCGTCGAGTCAAACGTAACCAAAACGCACGTTCTATTCTACGGATGGCTGTTACAATACTCGTTCAGATTTTGTGTGATCGTAGTGACGTCGCACGTTACCACTACACAGGTACACGTCATTATATAGCTTAAAGGTAATATAAAATAATAGTTGCTTGGCCTAACTTATAGTTGCCGGTCGCCCGTGCGAAAACTGAGAAGAAACTGCAGTGGATCTTAATAGGTGTCGTTTTTTATGTGACGCATTATCTGCATTGTTTTGGAAAACAGATAATTCGTCCACTTAAATTATGACATTATTTCTTATAATATAATATATGCTATTGGCTTACTTCGATCGGAGTGTTTGTTCGACGATACATTCGTCATTCAGTAACTGCATTTATAATCCATACTTATTGTTATTTTTTCAACATCGATAATACTTATTTATATTTAAGAATTCATATTTTTTTAAATTTTAAATTTTGATTTCTGACTATATAAAAGTAATATTAAAAAAAAATAAAATATTTCACAAACTCCCTTGACTGTTAAACATAATGTATGTCCCGATTGGGGACATATACCTAGGTCATTATTTTTTAAAGAATGATCTTTACAAAAAAAAATAGGTACCTATAATAATTATTTATTTATGATTGACTCTCAAAAAGAGATTTTGTTTTATTATATTTGCAATCATGTTCTATGAATAAAATTTTTAGATATTGGGTATAAAATACAACTAGCCACATTTTTTCAGCAATTCGCCTTCCACCCTCTATAGTGAGAAAACTCTACCCTGGTATTGTTCAGAATTGTTATGATAATATTACGATGATGGGATAATTTATTTAATTTATAATTAATTTTATATTTAATGAAACATGTTTGTTGTTTGGTTGTATTTTTTTCCATTTTAGGCACACCGTCCAAAAATGATAATAACTGATATAAATAACCGTTACGCAGATAACAGTACAAAAAAAGAGGTATGGTTGAATTTCTATTTTATATTACCTAAAATATTTTGATATTTTCTAACAATTTTTTCAATTGTTGTAGTTAGAACTCTTCTTGTGTCAATTGTCTAGTCGTCCAGTAGAATTCACTATTTGTGATTTGTTCACACTGAACATTCGCCTCATCACTTCTGTAAGTTACAATAATAAAGATATCCTTAAAACTGTTTATATTTATACATTTAACGTTTAATTTATTCTTTTGTAAAGAATAATAGGTATAGGAATCAATAAATATACTCTTAAGTCGAAGGATTAACATTACCTATATTAAGTAACAATCTAACTAGAAAATAATATCGAAACAAAATAAAGTTACCTTATAAGTCTTTACAACAAACATGGTGCATGGTATAGAAAATTTGGTATCTATATAATAACGCTGTACATATTTTCATGTTTTCATCTCATTTAAAATGTATATCTTCATTTTGAGTTACCTACTAAAATATGTTGTAGGTACACTTTAATTTTTAACTAAAAAAATTGATATACCTGTCACTTTTTAATTTAATGGATCGTAAAATACATTCTTGATCTTGAATATAATATAATGTTTTAATTTATTTTTTATCACCTACCTTTTTAATCTTAAAAACTTACTTAATCAAGCATCCATTGCTGTTGATATTTTCCAACAAATTAAAATAATATGTATAATAGTATAAAAAAGAGACTAAGGCACTCGGTAAATGCCGCTGTAAAATCTATAGCATAGCAATTTTGTAGCTATGTATAGTGTAATTATAACCATTTATTTTTGTATGACATTAATTCAAGTTATACTTTTTGAGCGCGACGACCGAAAAGAAAATGACAAAATGAGTTTTGTTCGTTGATAACGGTAAACACCGTGCGGAAATATTTTATTTGAGACATTTTTGTTTAGCAACTGGTTAGACTGTAAATAACAAAAATAATAATAACATCTTACGGTCACGCTTTTCGTTACCAACATTTTTTTTTGTCACATCTGCGCTGAAAGTTTGGTTTTCGACAGCGGTTGAAGCTTTCGAAAGCGTCCTTTTTCCGTCCAGCCGGCGGTGGAAAATGGAAATTCCCCAAAGTGCTGGGTTCACATATCAAGCCCGTATCCCCTGCGCAACCAGATACTGGAATCTAATATCTATACCACGGTCCATACAAAGCATAAACTTTTGGTTACATCTTATGTTCATATTATAACCTCCATGCGCGACGCTTCAAATAAATAAACCGATCGTTTTTTTTCATGAAGTATTCACTGTTAGTATTGTGTCGTAGAATTATTATGGCCTAGTTGTTGCATAGATCCCTGCATTACCTTTTCCGTGATCGATGAATGCAGTGCCGTGACAAAAAAATAGTATGTGTGGCTCGTGAGGGAAAGTAATTTCCCGCCCTTGCCACAAAGTATACTATTTCAGGCCCTTAATAAAAGCTATGCAATAGCTTAAAAATGTAAATATGTACAGATTTATTATATATTTGTTGTCAATGTTTTAATTGCTTAATTTTTATACGTACGTGTATATTATAAATATTTTTACTTATAATAACTAATTTGTTGTTTACCCTTTGGTGAATTGTGTTTTTTTAGGTTTTCATAGAAACATAGAACATTAAAGTACTTATATCTCGTAGGTATTAAAATAAATATAAACATTAATATTGATAAATTAGTTACACATAATATTATGTATTTAATAGTTATTAATTATATTTGTATATAATATTTTATATTTTATTAAAACAATAAATACTGTTCGATGAATGTCGAAGGATAAAGCTTGTACCTACATTGATTGGTCGATAAAATAATTAGATATTTTATTTATATTTCTAAAGCCGAGTTTACACTTCACTGTTGTTACGTCATTTGTCGTATTATGTCAAAAAGTTGAGCTTGACCCAACTCTGAGAATATCCTGTTAGTGAATGATACCATGGACCCCACGGCCACACAACACGACAAACGACGTACTTGGGAACCCGGCTTTAAAATTACGATTTGAACATAATATTTTTTAATTATCATAGAAACATGGAAACCCAACATACGGCAAAAAATTGCTCCAAGAGTGTATTTTTTCTAACTTTTTTTAATTGTAGATACCGTTTATAATGACACTGGTTGTAGTGACATATCAGGTGTAATAACATATAGCCATATAGGACTCGATTGCTCACACAAATGTTTAATACCTTCTAAAATGACCCAAACATAGAAATCATTACGTTCATAAACTATAGAAAAAAATCAACATAATTCAATTTAAATTAAATGTGTAGTGTTATTTAATGAATTTTATAGTCCGTTGTTACCTATATGTACTAACTTATTTCAGCGGTATTTTGTTTCTATTTAATTTAAATATTCAAAACGGTTTATGGATTTGTTATAAGTCATAATTCTATCCAACATTTGTCTAAAAAATGTAATTTATCAGTGGCATCTATTTTAGTATTTTCATTAAAAATGAATTGTATTTTTCTTTATTGAATAGAAATCTAAGTCTAAATTGAATTTTTAATATAGTTGTTTTGATAACTATAGGTATGTACATGTTTGGATGTGGTGAGTAAAATGACGATATGACGATGAAAACTTTTTACGCCATTCGTTGTCTTTAGATTTTTACTTATTGTGTACATACCCACATACTGGAAGAAAATCAGAGTTAGGCCAAAACATAATTTTCCAGAATATATAATCTGTGATTTAATAGTTGTTCGCAAACGATCTAAATCATTTTCGAGCTAATAATTTGTATTAATAGTTTTAACATTTTTCGTTGTGCGCAAACGAGTTGTTAGTTTTCAGATAAAAATATTTGAAGTGTGAGCAAACGAATAGTATTAGTCTGGATTACCTACTTCGTAGTTCGTCTGTATAGTGTATAATGATTAATGACTATACGTCTATACGGATGTTATTACGGTCGTTTTGGTTATATTGAAAAAATCTATTATCTATAGTCAGTGGTTGAATTGGGGGGGGGACGCGGGGGGACGGAGTCCCACTTCTATTTTAAAAATATTTTAGCGTACCCCTTCTAATTTCTTTTAATGGGACGCTGGGGACGGGAATCATTTTAAAAATTGTACTAAATTAATGAAAATATTTTTATTTTAGATTCTGAGTGAAACGATGAATGTATTAATTTTACAATGATGTGTGTTTTTTTTTATTTTTTTTGTGTCTGTGTACACGATAAGTAGTCGAAATAATGCTTCGATTTTCAACTTCAGTATCTTGTTCGATTGGAAAGTGAATATCGTTGGTGCATTGGGGAGGTTAAAATTTAAATTTCCAGTAGTTTTCAAAAGCGCTGGGAAAAACAAAATAAAAATTAAGGAAAAACGGGAATTTTTACACAAAATCTGTTTTCGAGAAAATCGATTTTGGTTTTTGGTGTAACTTTAAAACAAATGATCGTAGATACATGAAATTTTCAGTGGTTGTTTATATTTGCATTTTCTATACATGATAACATTTTCAAAATATTTTGATTTATTTTGAATTATTTAGGGACATTTTCAGTTTCCAATTTTATTAGTTTTTTTTTTTATGAATATCAATAAGAATTTATTTGTTGAGTAAAAATACTTGAAAATTTAATACAAGGCTCCTACTATATTGTTACAATGGCATTTGAAAAATATTAAAAATCGTTAGTCGCAGTTTTTTTTTTTAAGCATTTAAAGTTCAAAAAATGACAAAATATGGAAAAATCACGAAAATTTGCAAATTATTTCGAGTTAGAAATTCATAAAAATTTTTCTTTTTAAATCTAAGATATGAAAATGTAATACAAGATTCCTTATAAGATTTCCTACATTTATCAAAAAAAAAATTCTATAAGAAAGTCAAATTAAATTTTTATGAGCGTTTGAAATTCAAATTTTTACAACATTGGATATTCACTCGATTTCTCATGTGGCGATTTCCTTATTTTGTTGTAATTCAAAAACGAATTACTGTAGATACATGAAAATTTTACTGAATGTTTATACTAGCATTTCCTATACACCATACAATTTTGAAAATATTTTGACTCTTTTTGAGCCGTTTACGGACCTTTTTAGTTTTCAATTTTTTTAGTTTTTTTTTTCTATAAATATCAATAAAGTTTTATCTGTTGGGCCAAAAAGTGTAAAAAATGAATACAATGCTCCTGATATATTGTTACAATAGCAATTGAAAAATATTAAAAATACATAGGCACAATTTTTATCTATATAAGCATTTAAAGATCGCATTTTGACTAAATTTATCAAAATCTCGAAAATTATCAATCATCGTAATTAATAAATTATAAAATGTTCAGTTTTTATAGCTAGGATTGAAAATTTAAAACAAGATTCCACGTAAGTAGTTAATTCTGTTACCAAAAAATCTAAAAAATACACAAGCACAGTTTATTTTTATGGTCATTTTAAGTTCAAATTTGGGACGAAATTACATATTAAAAAACCTAGCATACCTATTTTAGTTATTTTGTTGTGAGTGTATAATACTATTCGTGGGTACTTGAAACTTCTTAAGTACACTATATTATATATCTATGATAGTATCAGGGTTAGGTTAGGTTTATTGCTGTATGGTGTAAAATGTCATTGTAGCGGGAGGGGGACATATGCTACCACTTAACAGTAAGACATTTAAATGTTCGGGGACGCACATATCTTTTATACTTTTGCATCCCCCTTCTATTTTTTTTCCAATTCAAGCACTGTCTATAGTGACTGTATTAAACTTTTATCGAAGGTAATATAACAACTGATAATACTAAATTGTAAAAACAAATTTAAAAAAAAAACGAAAAAAATATTGCATGTTTTTTATATAAAGTATAAACTAAAATAATACATTGTTTAATACAAGTTAATTTAATTTTAAAATAAAAAACAACGTTTTTCATTTTATTTCTTATTTTATTTTGTATATATTTAAGTCATTATTCAGTGATACAAATATGACACACTGATTGTATATATAATTAAGTTTTTAAATGTTATTTTGTTGTAATGACAATCGGTTATTATGACTAATTTTGACTAGTCCCTTGAACGTCATTACTCATTAATCATAATAAACGGTTTCTACTTTCTACTGTGTATAAATATTGAATATTATTAACTAATTTGTATATAATTATGAATTAATAATAAAAAATAAACACAAACAATTTTTCTTATACCTTTTGTTTATTTTTCAGGCTTTTGTTGCTGGTACAACTTATCTAATTTTACTATTACAATTCCACTGAACAAATAAGGACACATAAGACATCATAACTACGTATTATAAAAATAATTATTTAACATGATGCATTTAAGTTCAGATACGAGATACCTAATTTAAATTTGAACAAAAAATAATCGATTTAAAAATATAAAATTATGTATAAATAATTATATTATAGTGTTAATTAGTCATAAAAATATTTATCTTGGCTGGTACCAGTCAAATATATTTATAAAAAAAAATGTTTACATTCATGTAAAATAAGCAATGAATATATATCAATATAATTTATTTTTATCTGGGCTGTATAATTTATATTATAAAATTATCAAAGTACTATCAAACCAAGTGTGGAGAGTAAACTTGTAGAAACCTATCTAGAATTCCTGAATCAAAATGATTGTACGCGTCTCCGATTTTTTTATCTATCTGTTTATTATTATTAGGCGAATTTTGAGATCTTACGGATGATAATCTTCTACCTTCATTTCGGAATTTACGAAATTTGCTTTCATCGTTGTCGTGTACGGATTTTTTTACAGTATCAGTAACGTTATGCTTGTACGGACACTGACCGTTGTTGATTATTTGTATTATATGTATAGGTGCAGATAGTTTTTTGTGATCTTTAATCGCTTCTAGAATCTTCGTCGGATTTGGATTGACTGAATAATCAGTAATATCTGAACTCTCGCAGTCTGTTGAAGTACGCGTTAAACCCAATGTCGAATCACTTGAATCTATTTCAGGTGTAGGCTGTATGACTGAAAGATTTTCCACTCCTGGTTCATTTAATAATTTAAAATCACCAGTCAATAACTTTGTAAGGGATATAGCCGAGTGCCGACCATCGGGTTTTTCAATTGGTATGAAAATTTCGGACACATACTCGGAACCATTATTATCAACACTTGTTTGGCTCACCAAAGGTATCTTAAATACGCCATCGGCTATTTTTACTTGCGAAAGTACTCCAAATCTATTCGGGTTTGTAGATTCGTCTTTGGGATTCCATACATCGTATTTATCATTGTTCAGCGTATCGCTATTAATCGGATCATCGTTTAATGTATTCAAATGTGGCTGATTTTTTTGTTTTTTAACTTTAACTTCGACTTGATTGTTTTTTTGGGTGTCATCGTCGTTTTCGTCTTTTTCTGAACTGGTGACCGGCACCGGTTGCGACAGTTGTAGGTCTAAATTATTGTCCTTTTGGTTTCTATTTGAAGATTGTCTGCTGATTGGGGACTGATTAACGAACTGAGTATTTTTATTTGAAATGTTAGCCTTTTCTGAATATTCACGAAATAAAATTGGCTCTAGATATTCTTTAGTGTAAGGTGCATGTTCGTGATCATATAGGTCTTCTACTTGAGATTTATTTGGCGGATAGGACTTCAACAAAACATTCGAGTCAACGTCATACTTGGATTTTAAATTATGTTTTGTGTCTGTTTTCTTTTTGAAAATACGCTCTGTAAGAGGTTGGTCATTAAGAATATTTTTATTTTTCAAACTTGAGGTAAGTGGTTTTTCAAAAAGGTTGTATTTGGTGTTAGCTATTTTGTCTGAAAATAACGGTATTAAACTTGGTTTTGTTTTTGCATTATTTAATTTTAATATAGACATATTTTCGTTATTTTTCATCTGTTTTGTTGGATCTGAAGAACTAATCTTTTTTGGATTTTGGATTAATATAGCCGGTTTGGATGTTATAGTCTTTGAAACATTTTGATTTATCATAATATTATTATTTTTACTATATGTAGGCATTTTTGTTGAATTATTTACAATTTTATTTTTGGGTTTCGTTTGAATTTTAGTGTTTTCAATAGATTTTAACAAGCTCGATTGTCTTTGTAATTGAACAGGATCTAAATTATTTGTACTTATACTATCTTTTCGAGAAATTATTTTTTTATTAATATTATTTTCTTTGAGATTTTGACCAATACGGGTATTTGGATTAAATAATGATCCTGTAATCAATTGTCTTGGAATATTTTGTGTAGTATTATCATCATCATTTTCTGTAAGTTTTTCTAGATTTCTTGATGTAGTTTGAGGTGAATTCTTGTTAATATTTTTTATTGGTACCTGTGACAAAATCCTGGGAGAAGCAAATATTTTTTTAGTTCTTGTCTTATAATTGGTATTATCGTAATCACCAACATTACTTGTTGTATGTAATTTTAAGTTTGCTGGAATATTAAGTTTTATTTTTTCAACAAGATGTCCCGGACTCTTTTTTGTAATGGTTTCTATTTTTTTACTTGATATTTCTGGTATAGTTTTAAGTTGAGTTCGGCTAATAATCTTATTTACCTTTTGAGCAGAACTCTTGGTAAAAATGTTATTATTTTCTGTAATTTTATCCATATTATTATTTTCCCTGTTAATATTTTCTGTTATTTTATCCATATCATTGTTTTCCATGTTATTATTTCTTACGGAAGTATCATCGTTCTGTGGTATACGTTTTAATTTGGCAACAAACTGCCTCGTATTTATCTGTGGTAAGTTCTTGTGAATTAAAGACATTCTTTTATTATTAATTTCTTCCACCTTGTTGATATTTGCATCGTTATTTCTTTTTCTTTGACTCTTCAGTTTTAATTCGGGAATTATAGAGCTAGATGAAGAATTATTTGAATCACTTTCTTCATTTTTATTTGTTTTACTATTTTTCGTACCTCGTGAATGATTTCCATTAATATTTAACACTGATCCTTGTAACAAGTTTAAATTTGATTCTTTAAGATTATTTTTACTTGTACTTTTGAATATTCCTTGTTTTTTTCCCAAGAAATCGGAGTTTAAATCCTTTTTATTTTTTATTAAATTGTCTTCATTATTATTATTTTTGGATTTATTTATTTCACCATTTTTTTTAATTAATTGATTTGAACGTTTGTGACTATTCATTTTTAAACTACTTGGTGATGTATCCATATCAGTTTTTATTTCTGTGATATTTGTCACTACTGTCGAACTTAAAATATTCTTGATGATTTTTTTATTACAATTACAATTCATATTATCATCCAAAGAATTATTTTGGTTTTCCTCTACAATTGTGTCACCGGTCGAATAATTTGAGTTTGGATTATTATCATTAGACTCTGCAATTCCATCTGGGTTTTGTAGTTTCGATGTCTCATTTAAATCTGATGTTAGTTCTTCTTTTGATTCAAATATTGCCGCCATTGTTGGAAAATTATTTATAGATGTTTCAAATTGTTTGTCTTGATTTTTATTATTCTCATTGTAACTCGAAATATTGTCTTCCTTATTAAATTGATCTGTATAAGCTTTGGTTGTAAATTTTAATTTATAATTATCGTCAATCATACTAGAATCTGTTTTATCTGTTGATGTAGATGATACAACAAAAGGGCTAATGGTCTCTCTAGAGAATAAAACGTGTTCGTTTACTTCCGGAAGTGGAGATGTTGAAATGTATGTGTTTTCTTTCTCAGTAACTACTGATAAATCTTTTAACTTATTAGAAATATTGTCGTCAGTTTCAATAACTTGATTCTTAGAATCTTTTAAATTCAATTGTTTTATGTCATTTTTTGAAATCGATTCATTTTTATCATTAAATCCACTTCTGCGATCATTTTCTATTGGTTTACAATCATTAACATTATTTTCTATTATTTTATTTCTTACCCAATTTCCATTTACAAAAGTATTTTCGGGACTAGATTCAAGTTTATTTATTATGCGATTTCCTTTTATTTTTTCAAATTTAACTATCATTTCTTCAGAAGAAGAACTATTTGTATTTGAGTTTTCAACAAATCTACTTTCCAATATACTTGGTTCAATACTTTTTTGTATAGGTAGTTCTTTAATTAAAGTAGATTTAACATTTTTTGGTTTATTTATTTTGTCGATTAATTGATTTAAAACTTTAATAAAGTGATCATTATCTACGATTTTTTCTAATTGTTGATTACTATCATAATCATTTTTAGGTTCCCCTAGATTTATATTTGATTTTAAAAGTTCACAATCCTTACATTTAAGCGTTGGTTCTATTCCGTCCTCGATATTTGTTGAAAGTAGTTTTTGAGATTGTTGATGATTTGTAGAATCTAAATTTTGTGTAATTATCTTAGTGCATCTTTTTCTCTCTTGTGATTCGTTTAAATTTCTTGTTATTGGTCTAGAATTTTGTTCTATTTCCCTGTGTAAATTTAATTCATCTATTAGACCATTGATTTTTTTCTCTCGATTGTCATTATATTTTCCACTATCATAATAATCATACATATCTTCATAGTTGTCAGGTTTTAAATCTAATATTACTTTAATATGTCGCTTATATTCAGTATCTTCATTATTATTTTTATTTGACACTTGTCTCGGAATACGATTGACTTGAGAAGAATTTGGAAAAGACGAAACAGCTACAATATTGTTCAATAGCGTGGAATTAAGTACATTCAAATTCTTTGTTCTGTCAAATTTGATGAATTTTCTGGAAAAATAATTATATTACAAACAAAAATATATAATTATATATTTATATATAATACTATACTTATAGGTATATTATAAGAAAATTTAAAATATCAACTATAAATCTAATAATTAAATCCTTACTGGTTACTAAATACTAATGAACCAATAATTATAACCACAGGTATAGTTTTAATACATTTAATACATTTGATACATATATTGAAATTTTAACTTAAAAGTCACCGCATTCCTATAACAACTATGTATAGGTAGGTATTTTTGAAAAATATACCTACGCTTTTATAACTTTTATAACATACGTAATACGTATATTATATTAAATATCTATTAAGTAGGTGCCTATGTATAAAAATAATATATACCTAATTATTTAAAATAATTTATTTTGTAAGATATCATAATAAGTTTTTATGACAATGTCAGGGAAACATAAAAAAATAAAAAAAATACTATGATATTAACTAAGGGGGGGGGCACTTCTAGACCCTGAGTCCACTTCCCTGGGTACGCCACTGATACCTTAATACT